AACTGTGACAAGAGATAGGAACATTTGACGATTGCTTAAAGCAGTGATCTTCACTATTTATTTTCATGAGAGCCGCACTTATAGGACAAAGTTAATAGGAGAGCCACTTTTACTGCAAAGTATGAAAAGTTACATCTAGTCATAAATAGCATGTCTGCTTCTCAATCTGTCATCCCTGAACATACAATATGCAATGCAATACAAAGGGGTTTATTTTTAAAAGTTATTTCAAGTTATTTTTTAAAGTTATTTATTTAAAGTTATTTGCTTCTACATTAGCCCATCATGTATCAAACCATAAGAGCACATTCGGCGTTAAGAGCTGGAAAGATTGCCAAAACAACTCCGCAGTGAGTCAATGTCATGGACGTAAGGGCAGAGCAAGTTTAAATATCTTTCTAGTCTATATTTCCATCTTGTAATTCCGCTGTTTTGGGTATTTTTAAAATATAAATTATTTATAATAGAGCAGACACTGACTGTTGTTCAGGTATTTATGTTCTCATTTAGTGAGACAGCAGACGCTGAAACACTGCGCACTTCAGTATGTGTGTAGTAAACGAAACCGCGCGTCTGTGCCATTCATTCATAAAGAGACATGCAGGATTCATATTTAAATGGTATTTTTGCAGCTTAATATTTACAGATACCAGTCAATATTGCGATTTGATTTAAGTGTAATGACCTACTTTTGATTTATTCACCCAAACTTTGACAAATTCCGTGACATTCCGCATTATACAGTAAATTCTGTTTTTATGACTGGATTCCGCAATTCCGTCCAGAAATCATAGGGCCATAATTAAAATGGGTTCTATTGTCTTTTGTCGAAGGCATTGATTAGCTTGTTCAGGTGTATACAACAGGCCTCCCGTCATTCACAGACGTGATGGGCATGGCAATATGACTATGATGAAATTACATATTGGAGTATTAATAAGTACCTGTAAATAAATATTTATACAATACATACCTGTGATTTTGCCTGTTAAGTGTTTATGTTGTTAAGAAGTGGATAGGTTTAGGGTAGGAGTGGGGTTAGATGCTCCAATATCTATAAAAATATGAATATTTATACACTTTCAATTTTTTAAACTAGTTTTTTAATAAAATTTACACTTTTACATATGCAATAATTACATGCGTCACTAAAGGGGTAGCCTGAGGGTTAAAAAGTGATGCCAAGGGATCCTGACCAAATGTCAATATGTGACAAGTTGGGAGTGAGAACGCCCTGAATAAACATGAAATATATACTGATTGGTTGTGTATCATGGTACACTCGTTTCACATTTATTCTAGACAGATGAACTTGATCCTACTCAGGAAACATTGTTAGGTATAGAATTGGGTTTAAAGCTGGGGTAGTTAATTGTTAGGCTTGTGGCTGTGTTTGTTTGACAAGAATATTGTTCCAGGATCAATAACAGATGTTGATCCAGGGACACATCCTACTTGGCAAAGTCACCATCACTGTGTGCTGTATTCGATTACGCAATAGAATAGTATGGTGAGTCATGGAAGGTATAAAACCATCATATTCATCATGATTCAGTGCTTTCCAGACTGTGCACCTCATTGCCTTTGTGATTAGAGAAGCAGACCCTTTGTGTCTGTACAAGAATATCCACACACAGAGACCAGTGACTGTTTAGTTTCCACAGCACTAGTGTGCCACCCACAGCATCGGCGTAGTGCAGATGACGTGTGGTTTTCCTGACCCGCAGTGTGTGGTTCTGGTTTCTGGCCCCAAAACCATGCAGTTAAATGGGTCATTTGAGACATCCACAATGAAGCAAACTTTATTAAATCCATTGTTCTTCTAAATTGATTGAAGTACATGTTGAGTGTTTTTTGAATGAAAGATTTGCATTTTTTAGGAGTTTCCTCGTAGGTCTGTCATACGAGGAATGGATGGTATATTTAACATGGTGTATGTGCCAAAATAAACTCAGCTGTTCAAACACTCCACTCACACAAATGATTGCCCATAGAAGATAAAGATCTCATTGGTGTGGTTCTACTTGTTGTGTTGAAACTCTTTAAGGAAGGGTCAGCCTGGGGGTCATTAGAGGCAAAGAACAAATATGGCTTCATTGGGGAATAGTGTGGTCAAATTTACATCGACCTCAGCTCATTGTCATACAGTTTGGGTCAGCCAAAGGACAACAATATTGTAAATGCCTTCTAACTGAGCCACAGAATAAATACTGAAACACTGAAAATGGTATGCATTGTTGGTGTAGCTTGATCATGTTAGAGATAAGGATATAAATCGGATATCTTCATATTCTGCAACAATTTCATAATTTCTTATAGTAGGATCAATAAAATTGTACTGTCGGAGAGCTACAAGTAATAGGCCCTCTTAAAGAGGTCACCTGACTCTTGTAAGTTTCTAGTGGACCACCTGGCATGTTTATCTCTCAGGAGAAGGTGATAGATAATCTTTTGACAATCTGCATAAAGTCTGATATGCTTATTCTTATTCTGGCCATGAAGCGCCCATTTTAAGGGAAGAGATGTCTGATATATGGATAAAATAACCAAACAGCAATCTGAATGTTGAAAACATTATGAACCATTCAAACACTGGCAAACCTTTGATATATCAACTTGGTACTTTGTAAACACGATTACCATGTGCCGTGATATGTTTGTTATGAGCATGGCACTGCAAAATCACAATAGTCTGAGAGCAACCCCATCAGCCCTTTTCTTTGACTTCCTGGTTCAATCGCTTCACCTGACATCATGTCAATCTCCTGTGGAGAGGTTCCTCATTCTACTTTCTACATTCTATTCCTGCATTCAGCATTCTGCTTCTTGCCAAAAAAAATTAATAAATGTTGCCTCGGCTGAAGAAGGAACCTCTTAGGCTTGAATTTGTATTATTCAACTGTTGATGGGGGTTCAAGATCTAAATGAAGTGTATTGTCTTAAAACTGGGCTTGCTGCTTGACAATAATGTTTATCCCAGAACTGGTTACGTAACTCTCAGTTCATGACAACTCCACTTTGTCCACTCAACCGTTGCCCAGGTTTTTGGAGCCCGAGGTACACTCAACAATTGGCTGACCACTACAGTGAAGCAGCTTGCATTGATATGTTTGGGTTTCTGTATGCCCTATGCATATACTCTCAGGCCTCCTTTGATTACATGTTGTACCATCACAGCACTCTAGAGGGCTGAGTGGGAGAAGAAAGCCGATACGCGAGTTAGCAGAACCTCTGGAATGAATCCAGTGTGCACTACAGATAGAAAACAGAGCACTTACCCAATTCACCCTTTCTCAAAAGCTACATAACACAACACAGGACAAAAAGACAACACCAGGATATTGAGCTCTCAAGGAATTTAGTGGCCTACAATTGTTTGCCGGAATTCAGCATGACTCAGTGATATTACAATACTTGGTTTAACTTACAGTAATAGTCAGTTGTCGGTCTTTATTTCCAGTATAAGCATATACTGCATACTGGTTTCTGCATATTTCATGCATTACAGCACAGGACCAGCTAACGGGATTATTAGAACTTAATAGCTCAGACTTGTCCATTCTCAAGCTTCCCATTGGGGTCTGTCCTCCTAATCAGTCTCCTTTCCCCTTCTCTCATTAACACCACCCTGGTCCTACTTCCCATGGGTTCACAGAAAACCAATCACATGCGACCTCTTCACAGTCCATGAAGCAGGAAGTTGGGTGAGGTAATGGGGTTCAGGTTAGGTTTTGTGGGGTACCATCGAGTGCAGAAGGAAGGGTAGAGCCAACAACTACTTCATTGGTACGACAATTAGATTACAATTTTCATGGTCTATTTCATGCTCAGGCCAGTCTCATTCTGACAAATGTTTTTTTGAAAATCAAACAGTTGCAATGGTAAGGAAAGAAAAAGAAGACCATGACCATTGGCTTATTGGCTATTGGTGGTAAGTAACCCTACTCAAAATACCATTTTGACTTGATTAGTGTAGAAGGCTAGTTGAGATGCCACCATCATAACAAAACATACAGTATGCTGCTCTTTTCAGCAGGACAGGCAACAACTTTTACAATCATTTAGTCTCTTTAAAATGCTTTTCTGAGCTATGTAGGTGTTTCACCATGAGCTCTCATGTTTCCTTAGTATGTAGACACAGGGGTCTCATGTTGAATTCATGTCGGAGGTACGATGAGTGTTTGTAGTGGTCTGGAGTGTGTTAGAGACACAGCTCCCCTGGAGTGTACACTCACTACAGGAGCAGGAAAGGTAGAGGTGGAAAAGAGCATCTTTGAAACATTAAATTTTTTGAATGACTCCCTCCAGCAATGCTCATTATTAGAAATATCCCTTCAAGAATGCAGTCTCCCTACCACCATCTGGATCCACTAATCAGTCTGAGGCCTGAGTGCTTTTGCTAAGCTAATGATTTGTTCCTCTTTTACACTGACCCGTGACCAGTGTCATCCAGATCCTTGGTTATGTTGCATGTTATACGTGTAAAATACCAGACACTCAGTGTGGCCC